TATTTTATTAAAAATAGTCGGCTGATGAATTGCCGGCTGTAGGATTCAAACCCACAACCTTTAGATTGATAGACGAGAGCTGTACCTCTACGCCACAGAGCACCTTTTTTCTTAAAATATCTAAATACACAATTCGAGAATACTTTAGTTTTTAAATTAATAGCCAAACGAACTACCGGATGTCACACTTGATGTATATGGACGATCTAAAACTATACGCTAGTAACGAACATCAGTTACAAAGCATGCTTGAATTAGTCAGTAGATTTAGCGAGAAAATCAAAATGGAATTTGGACTGAGTAAATGTGCTGCAGCTCATTACAAAAAAAGGAAAATTAAGACACACCGAATGTAAAGCTAATGAACGAAGTAGAAATCAACACTCTCAAAGAACCAGCTTACAAATATCTAGGCATGTTGCAGACCGGCCAAATTAAAGACAAGACAATGAGAGATATTACTAAAGAAAAATATTTAAAACGTGCCTAAATCGTAAAAACAGGTGCCCAAACATACTTACCTGGAAAGGAAAAAATATAGCAATTGCTAGCTGGGGCAGTACCTTTAATTACCTACACATACGGTGTGCTGAAGTGGAGCGATACCGAATTGAAGGAAATGGATAGAGATACTCGTAAAATATTAACGAAGAACCGAATGCATCATCCTATTGCATCCACTGCCAGATTATACTTACCTCGAGAAAATGGGGGCAGGGGACTTTCAAACCTAGAAGATATTTGCAGAAAACAAGTAAGCAGTTTACAAAAATATTTTAACAACAAAGAAACAACTTTACACCGAGCAATAAGAACCGCTGACATAGGCTATTCAGTCTTAAACCTAGCTCGAAATGAAATCACTGATAGATCACCACTGAGTGTAGGCGACATAGTGCAGGAATTAAAGGACAAGGCGCTACACGGAAAATACTTTACTGAATTGGATGCAGATTGTGTAGAAAAAAGTAAATCAGTAAAATACCTAATGGAAATTCAACTTACCGGCGACTTACTGAGAGGTTCATATATGTGCTATTCAGGATCAGGTGATAGCAACAAGATCACACAGGAACATTGTTCTGAAAGAAAACACAACGGACGGATGTAGAATGTGTAACCAATTTTCATAATCCATACAACACATAAGTTCTGGTTGTCCCACGTTAGCGCCATCAAGTTATACAGAAAGGCATAATAACATAGTAAAAATAATCCATTTAGAACTGTCACTAATCCTTGGTTTACAGTCTGAGCAAACGAAATATTTTAATTACACCCCAGTAACTATAATGGAAAATAGTAGCCATAAACTATGTTGGAATACACTTATTTTAACAGATAAAACAGTATTACAAAATAAACCCGATATACTCTGGATAAACAAGGAAGAATGCTTCATAATTGATATAACCGTATCATTAGACCAGAATCTTCAAAAAACCGCAACAGAAAAAATACAGAAGTATCAAGATCTTGCATATGAATTAAAAAGAGTTTTCCAGCTCAATAAAGCCATGGTTTTACCTTTTGTCATCTCTGCCAATGGACTTATTCGTAGAGATTTTACAAAGAACACGGAATTATTGAAATTAAACCGAAAGCTTACCAACGAGTGCTTAAAAGCAGAAATATTGGGAACACTGAGAATTGTCCGAAAAGTACTTAATATTAAAAGACCCTGAACTAGAACAGTTCTGGTCAAGAAACCAAACCAACCGAGTTAATCGTGAAATAAAAAAAGTAATAATAATAATAATATAATAATTGAGATTCTGACATACCCAATGGTATGCGTACAAATTTTGTCAATTTTACACCTGTTTTAATATTTATCTCAAAAAAAATAGGTTAGTATGTAGCCGGCCGTAGCTCTAGCGTTAGTGTGTCGATCTGCGGAGCGGAAGGTACTGGGTTCGATCCCCAGCCAGTACGGTCACTTTATTTATTTAAGTAAAAGTATTTATTTATCTAAATAGAGCGACCAACGAGCCGCCACCTCAAGGAAGGCAATGGCAAACCACCTTGAGTATATTTGCCTTGTACAGCCTCTCAAATAGTGCCGTTCGGATTCGACAATAAACTGTAGGTCCCGTGTACCTCTGAAACACTGATAACACACATCACAAGTACATGATGCGAGAGGTAGCCGACGCTCTATATAGAGTATGGCACTGTAAGAAGATAGGTTAGTATAATTAGTTGAGTGCTTTAAGCCCTTATGGGATACAAACCTCAGAATTCATTTACTGTGAACGAATTTTTATAAAACTTTTTGCATTGTATTGTTAAAAAGATATATTACAAAGTTTACCCATTTAAATTCGTTGCTTTCACTTTAGTATTTAAATAAACACACATATACAAATGCATACATACAAGATGGCTCCACGTTCCAGAAAAGCTCTGTATCAGGATTCCTATTTATAGATATAGATATATATATATATATATATATATATATATATATATATATATATATATATATATATATATATATATATATATATATATATATATATATATATATATATATATATATATATATATATATATATATATATAACGCTTCAAATTGTAAGCTACTGCCTAACCAGGCTGCAAATGGCGCCTTTGTGCCTCGTTTGCTTCTCCTTTTTCTTTTTCAGGATCGCTAGTTCATCGTTGCTGATTCCTCCTGTATTGATGAAGCCGGAAGGCAGAAACACTCAGTGTCTACGGGTAGTCATGTTTTAGTCATATCTCATGACTAATCTTTCTGTGGACTTGCCCAATAAATTCTTCCTTCTTTTTATTATAGTCTCCACGATAACATCCTTTGTTTATTGTTTTCTCTGGGCCAAGGTGATAGCGGCGAGGTGTGTTGGAACGCCTCCGCAGCGGTTTTTCGGTAGTAACGCTTCAAATTGTAAGCTACTGCCTAACCAGGCTGCAAATGGCGCCTTTGTGCCTCGTTTGCTTCTCCTTTTTCTTTTTTCAGGATCGCTAGTTCATTGTTGCTGATTCCTCCTGTACTGATGAAGCTGGAAGGCAGAAACACTGAGTGTCTACGGGTAATCATGTTTTAGTCATGTCTCATGACTAATCTTTCTGTGGAGTTGCCCAATAAATTCTTTCTTCTTTTTATTATAGTCTCCACGATAACATCCTTTGTTTATTGTTTTCTCTGGGCCAAGGTGATAGCGGCGAGGTGTGTTGGAACGCCTCCGCAGCGGTTTTTCGGTAGTAACGCTTCAAATTGTAAGCTACTGCCTAACCAGGCTGCAAATGGCGCCTTTGTGCCTCGTTTGCTTCTCCTTTTTCTTTTTCAGGATCGCTAGTTCATCGTTGCTGATTCCTCCCGTATTGATGAAGCCGGAAGGCAGAAACACTGAGTGTCTACGGGTAGTCATGTTTTAGTCATATCTCATGACTAATTTTTTCTGTGGACTTGCCCAATAAATTCTTCCTTCTTTTTATTATAGTCTCCACGATAACATCCTTTGTTTATTGTTTTCTCTGGGCCAAGGTGATAGCGGCGAGGTGTGTTGGAACGCCTCCGCAGCGGTTTTTTCGGTAGTAACGCTTCAAATTGTAAGCTACTGCCTAACCAGGCTGCAAATGGCGCCTTTGTGCCTCGTTTGCTTCTCCTTTTATTTTTTCAGGATCGCTAGTTCATCGTTGCTGATTCCTCCTGTATTGATGAAGCCGGAAGGCAGAAACACTGAGTGTCTACGGGTAGTCATGTTTTAGTCATATCTCATGACTAATCTTTCTGTGGACTTGCCCAATAAATTCTTCCTTCTTTTTTATTATAGTCTCCACGATAACATCCTTTGTTTATTGTTTTCTCTGGGCCAAGGTGATAGCGGCGAGGTGTGTTGGAACGCCTCCGCAGCGGTTTTTCGGTAGTAACGCTTCAAATTGTAAGCTACTGCCTAACCAGGCTGCAAATGGCGCCTTTGTGCCTCGTTTGCTTCTCCTTTTTCTTTTTTCAGGATCGCTAGTTCATCGTTGCTGATTCCTCCCGTATTGATGAAGCCGGAAGGCAGAAACACTGAGTGTCTACGGGTAGTCATGTTTTAGTCATATCTCATGACTAATCTTTCTGTGGACTTGCCCAATAAATTCTTCCTTCTTTTTTTTATTATAGTCTCCACGATAACATCCTTTGTTTATTGTTTTCTCTGGGCCAAGGTGATAGCGGCGAGGTGTGTTGGAACGCCTCCGCAGCGGTTTTTTCGGTAGTAACGCGTCAAATTGTAAGCTACTGCCTAACCAGGCTGCAAATGGCGCCTTTGTGCCTCGTTTGCTTTCTCCTTTTCTTTTTCAGGATCGCTAGTTCATCGTTGCTGATTCCTCCCGTATTGATGAAGCCGGAAGGCAGAAACACTGAGTGTCTACGGGTAGTCATGTTTTAGTCATATCTCATGACTAATCTTTATATATATATATATATATATATATATATATATATATATATATATATATATATATATATATATATATATATATATATATATATATATATATATATATATATATATATAGATAGTGAGATTTTCACTCCAAACTTTTTACAAAATATGTGTTTAATGGTAGTTCACATTTCAAAAATATTTTATGGATATACAGGGTGAGTCAAATTCCGGTTTCAAAAATATCTTAATACCATAGAGTATATTAAGTGGTATAATAATTATGACCAAGTCCATAAGGACGTCAATATAGACGTCCAGATAACTTCGTATGATAACTTCTAATCGAGACGATCGACTTATTGTAAGTTTATCGCTAAGAAACCGCCGTTTGTCAGCTTTTCAAATTGATAATGAATTGCACTTAAGGAACGTACATATTAACTAACGGACTATAAGAAGAAGATTAAATGAAGCAAATCTTATGTCAAGAAGGCCTGCTTCGGGACCAGAACTTATAGAGGTGTTGACTAGGCCCAAAAGAAAAGGCATGGTCTAATAATAATAATAATAATAATAATAACGTATTATCCTATGGTAAACATGGTGAATACAAGAAATAAACGATATTCTCAGGGCGAGGGGGGACAGCGGGCTGGTCCCCTTCGGAATCGTCCAAATCCGCAGCCTGTCGAGGGTGTCAGCATGGCGGGTGATGCTGCCCCGAGATCTACACTCACCCAAACGCAAGAAATAGGACATCCTCCATCTTCAAGTGCTGAACCGGACACACCTGTTCCCACCGAAGATGGTACGAACCCAACGGTACGTCGCAAGAAATGGACCAACGCCGAAAACAGTGAAATCATGCGACTGTACTATAAAGTTACTAACCTGGAGACGGACTTTACAATGTACCGTGGCAAATTGTATGCACAATTTATAAAGGTTTTCCCAAACCTTAAACACTTAAGTGAGCAACGCATCGCAGATCAACGCAGGACCATAGTAAGTAGGAATCTTCTTTCTCAAGAGACACTGGCCAGAATCAAGGAACAAATAAGACTAGAAATCAACCCAGAAACAACTATTGACATACCGCCACAACCACCGCAGAGCGAAAGCATACGTGAAGCTGAGACAGAGACTGCACTACCGACAGAGATTACACTACCTACCGAACAAACCCAATTGGATTATCTATACGAATCAAACCTAATTAAGTTTTATGGCTCCAATCCCAACCTCAGACCATCACTTCCGAAAATAAAATACACAGCACAAACAACAACAATCATCGAGAGAGTTAACGCTATCCTATGTGATAAACTGAAAACCAGTTTCAATTTAGAAGAAATACATGTACATATATACTGTGCGGCCCTAACTTGTCTTACACAAAATGGTCAAGATGTAGCCCAACGTCCTAAGGAAAATAAGAAACCTATACCACCCTGGGAAAAAAGAATGTCTGACAAAATCAGCAGATTACGTAGAGACATAGGTCGCATGCAACAACTTTCTAAAGGAAACGATAGTGAAACCCTTTTAAAGAAGATATCAGAAGACATAACGACTAGATTCCGTCAACTAAGCGGCCAAACCCAGAAAGACTTTGTTATCGATACTCTAGACTCATTAAAACAACAGCTAGCAGTACATACAGACAAACTCAAACGGTACAAACGAAGCCACCTACGACGGATGCACAACGCCCAATTCACCCAAAACGAGAGGTGCTTCTACCGCAACCTTGGAAATAAGGCAAATAAAGAAAACCCCCAACATCCAAATGCCATAGACTCAAACCAACTAAATCAATACTGGAACAACATCTGGTCGTCTCAAGGAGAGCATCAAATAAATGCCGCATGGATAAACCAGGAGCGTGAAAAACATCAGAACGTAAGAATGGAAGACACAATAATTACCTTGCGCGACGTTGAAAGTGCAATAAAAAAATTACCTAATTGGAGAAGTCCAGGGCATGACGGAATTCACAACTTTTGGCTCAAGAAATTTTCCGCTACTTACAACCACCTAGCGAGAGAATTTACTGAAACTTTGATTGACCCCAATAAAATGCCCGTCTTTCTAACGGAGGGAATTACTCACCTTCTACCAAAAACAAAAAACCCAGATAATCCTTCCCAATATCGACCCATCACCTGCCTTCCATCAATTTATAGGATATTTTCAAGCTGCATTAGCAGTAAAATATATACCTACCTGGTCACCAATAACATCCTACATGAAGAGCAAAAAGGTTGCAAAAGCAGGGCAATGGGCTCTAAGGAACAGCTTGTAATGGACTCGGTGGTTTTGTAGCAAGCCAGACATAACAAAAGAAATCTCTTCATGGGCTATATTGACTATCAGAAAGCGTTCGACTCCATACCACACAGCTGGCTGTTGCAAGTTCTAGAAATCTGCAATGTTGACCCCAAAATCTGCCGATTCTTTAAAGAGATCATGCCTTCATGGACGACCTCCCTCAACCTCAGGTCTGCTCCCTTTGACATAACATCGCCAAAAATTCCAATTCGTAGAGGGATATTCCAAGGGGATTCTTTTAGCGCCCTTTGGTTTTGTCTAGCCTTAAATCCACTATCGCGGATAATCAATGAAACAGGTTATGGATTCTCACTACGAACGAGAAACAGACGTCATCTCATTACACACCTACTATACATGGATGACTTGAAGATATATGCTGCAACAAAAAACCAACTTGAAAACCTTCTGCGTACCGTTCATAAAATCAGCGCAGATATTGGAATGACCTTTGGTACGAGCAAATGTCAGACTGTTTCAATCATAAGAGGAAAACTATGCGAAACACCAGAATTGAATCTAGATGAGAAAACTATTATCTCCGCAATGTCGACTGAGCCGTATAAATATCTTGGAATGCTACAAACACACAAAATAGAACATGGAATTATTAAAAACCGCCTATCGACCGCCTTCCGACTGCGACTTACCTCCCTTCTAAAGACAGGTTTGAATTCTAAGAACCTCTTTAAAGCAATAAACACTTATGCCCTACCGGTTCTTACATATTCTTTTGGAATAGTCAAATGGACCCATACAGACTTGGAATCCCTAAATCGCCTGGTACGAACAACCTTAACCAAATTTAAAATCACCACCCAAGAAGCGCTACGGAACGGGTGACCCTCCCTCGAAATCTTGGAGGTAGAGGTTTACTGGATGTTGTTAATGTCTGTCGGGAGCAAATAAAGAGCCTCAGAGAATACTTTTATACCAAGAACAGCAACCTTTACGTCACGGTGTCTTCAGCTGATGTCAAATACACCCCCTTGAACCTCAGTAGAAACAATATGGTGCTTTTCCAACTCCTACATCAATCACTAATAAAATAGCTACTTGGGGAGCCAAGGAGTTACACGGACGGTACCTAAATGAGCTAGATCAACATCACATTGAAAAGGTGGAATCATTGCACTGGTTAACATCGGGTTATCTCTACTCAGAAACCGAGGGATTCATAGTGGCTATGCAAGACCAAGTTATTCCAACACGCAACTACCGGAAACTCATCCTAAAGGAGAATATATCAGACAAGTGCCCTAGATGTGATTCTGGAAGTGAAAACATAGAACACATTTTATCAGGGTGCAGTAATCTTGCGAGTACAAAGTATCTGGAAAGACACAACAGAGTCGCATCAATCATCTACTTGGAGATCCTCAAACAATTCAACATTGACCGAGAAATCCAAGAGCCCTACTACAAATATCATCCACCACAAGAAGTCGAAAATAATAGTTTCAAAATATACTGGGATAAAACAATCTTAACAAATAAAACCGTTAGAAGTAACAGACCGGACATCACGCTTATAAATAAAATTAAAAAAACAGTTTTACTAATTGATATTTCTATTCCTAACAACAACAATATACAAAGCAAGTTTACAGAAAAAATAACAAAGTATCAAGATTTGAGAATAGAAATAAAAAATATATGGCAAATGGAATCGGTCCAGGTAGTCCCCTTGATTGTCTCAGCCATTGGAATTATCCCGGTCAACCTGAAAGAACAATTAGAAGTAATTGGAATACCTGAAAATACTTACCGCCTAATGCAGAAATCTGTGCTGCTTGATTCTGCTAACATTGTTCGTTCCTTTCTAGATGATTAACAATAGTTTATTAAATTATCTTGTCCCCATGGACCGATAAGGCAGCTTTAAACCTGTTCTGAGCAGGAAAAAAAAAATAACGTTTATTAAACATTTTCTCTTGAAATTAAAACAGATATAAAATAGTACAGTACAATACAACATAATATGCTACTATATCTAATACACATTATCTAAGTACAATTTAACTAAGACTATATTTAAATTTTAAGAATCAAAATAAACGTTAAAAGAATTACCACAAAGTAATAGAATTACTTGTATGTGGAAAGAAATACAATTTAATTATGACAATATATAATGTTCACTGGCACTTATGAAAATTTATTTTGTATATGTTGTTTTGTATATGTTGTTGCCACTTACGTGCCAACGTTGCCACTCTTAATGTAAAAATTACGAAAAATGTTAGTGTCTTCTTCAAAATCGAATATTTCCAACAAAAATAAAGCTAACGAGATGAACCAAAATACAAACCATTGAGAAAGGATGTATATGTAATAGATGATAAAATGGTTTTAAAATTTCTTGCTGTTTTAACATATTCCACAGAGTGTTTCAAACTTTCACCAAAATATCAACATTTTGTTTTTCCTCGTATAATTAACAGATGGGGAGTTTCATTTTTAATTTAGAAAAATATACTAAAAAGTAAAAGAATTGGGCTACACACTGCTTAAAAAATCATCAAAATCGGTCCATTAAAACAAAATATATTAACATTTACAATACATCAAAGTTTTAAGGTGTCCATTTTTCGTGTCTGTGAATGTATTTCAAAAACTATACATTTTAGTCATATACTTTTCTAATAAAACAAACCTTTATTTTTTACTAGAATCCAAAAATGAATTAATATATAAGGTGTTCCATTACAAAAAAACATAACTTTGATGTGTAACTTTTTTTGGGGACACCCTGTAAAACTCTACATAATTTTAGAAAATGCATTAAATTGACTTACATAAGGTCACAAAATTTCACTTCAATACAAACTTTTGTTCTCCTTGCAAGAACCGCGTCGTATATGACGCGCCACCCTGTATAATTCGATTTCAATCAAAATTTCAATGATTAGAATATAAGCAGAATAGGTATAGCTTATGCATTAGATTTATTTCAATAAATTTACTTAGAAAAAGAATTAAAAAAATCAAAACATTAAGAAGGAAATAATTAAGGATTTACTAAAATTACTAAAATAAAAAATTAAAAGCAACGAAAAAAAATGGGTAAACATTTTAGTATTTTATCTATAAAACACAATACAGAAGGTTTCATATTAATACATTCACAGTAATTGAATTCCGAGGTAAAAGTCTCTGGGCACTCCACTAAATAGAAAAATGATGATGTATGAAAGTAGTTTCCCAAAATGTAATAATATACTGGGTATTCCATTTAAAATAAGAAAAATATCAAGCCACTTTTCAAATGACGCGGCAACACTGTAACGCTGAAAATATTTTAGAAAGATGGAGCAGGCGCCTTTATGTAAAAATCACCGGTTTAAACGTTTAACCGTGGCATCGCCAGGAATCATCCTGTAATCTTTTAAAAAATGTTACGTTATTTTATAAAATTTTCTCAAAAACTGTTAAACTTTCGTAAGAGATAAACGCTGCATGAGCCTACGCTCTATTGAAATATTCATTTTGAATAAATGCAGTTTCACTCTAACGATTCTTATCTCGCCTGGTCGAATCAAGAAACTGGCAAATCTAAATCCAATTACGATTGATTCCTGATCGTGAGGCGTTGAAATTATAGATTTCTCGCCGGAAAATGATTCGAATCGATTTTTGCCAACTTGTCGTGACCGGCACTTTTTCGTCGACTTAATAGAATAATAAAGAAACACTCAGTGAAATGGCACGGTTTTTTAATATTATGTTTGATGTATTTTCTGCTTTTTTTATGAGCAAACATTACATTTTGGTAGTTTAGTATAAGCTTATTTATAGTAGAGTGCTTTAAGCCCTTATGGGATACAAACCTCGGAATTCATTTACTGTGAACGAATTTTTATAAGACTTTTTGCATTGAATTGTTAATAAGATATATTACAAAGTTTACCCATTTAAATCCGTTGTTTTCACTTGAGTATTTAGATAAACACACATATACAAATGCATACATACAAGATGGCTTTTCAGATGGCAGGATTCCTACTTGAGATTTTTACTCCAAACCTTTTACAAAATATGTGTTTAATGGTAGTTCACCTTTCAAAAATATTTTTAATGATATGCATGATGAGTCAAATATATTTTTACACTTAAGTTTTAGTTTTACAAATGAAATGAGTTATATTATTTGTTTAGTTCACTGAATTTGCTATAAAATTCCGGTTTCAAAAATATCTTCATAATGTGAGTATACTGAGTGGTTTTGAATTACGACCACGTCCATGAGGAGGTCAATCTAGACGTCCAGGAACCTTCATATGAGAACTTCTAATCGAGACGATCGACTTATTCTAAGTTTATCGCTAAGAAACCGTCGCGCCGATAGCAAGGTTTTCAAATTTATAATGAATTGCACCTAAAGAACATATGTATTAATTAACGGATTCTAAGAACTAAATAAAGTAAATCTCATGGCAAGAAGGCTGCTTCGGGACCAGATCTTTCTAGATCTGTTGACTAGGACCAAAAGCAAAGGCATGGTCTTAATGTAAAAATTTCGAAAAAATGTAAGTGTCTTCTTCAAAAGCGAATACTTATCTCCAACAAAAATAAAGCTAATGAGATGAACCAAAAAATAAACTATTGAGAAAGGATGTATTTAGATGGAAAAAATGATTTTAAAATTTCTTGCTGTTTTAACATATTCTACAGGGTGTTTCAAACTTTCACCAAAATATCAACATTTTGTTTTCCCTCGTATAATTAACAGATGGGGAGTTTCATTTTTAATTTAGAAAGAGATACTAAAAAATCAAATAATTTGCTACATACTGCTTAAAAATCATCAAAATCGACAACAAAATATATAAGATTTAAAGTACATCAAAGTTTTAAGGTGCCCATTTTTCGTGCTGGTGAATGTATTTCAAAAACTATACATTTTAGTCATATACTTTTCTAATGAAACGCCTTTATTTTTTTACTAGAATCCGAAAATCAATTAACATATTTTATATTACACTCGATATTAC